GCAATTGCCATCTCTTTTGTTTACATAGAAAAGCTTTGAAATCAAACAATGCATACTTATTATTCATAACTTTTTTTAAAAAAGGTCAGTTCTAACATAGACTTGAAGCTGTTTTTAGTTGTCAAAGGAACTGTGAGAAATTAGTACAAGGTAAACTTTTCCTTAGTCTTCTCAAATACTTGTTCTGCAATCACAGCACCTGTTCCATCAGCTTGCTTGATCTCCAGGTTAGCCTTCTGGTAAAAGCCAGTACCTCTCAATGCGTCGGCAATGAAATCATCAAATCCTATTGCTATGGCTGCCTCTGCTTTGGCTCCATAAACCAGCCTCTGTTCCAAAAAAAAAGGAAGATGAAAGAGAGTTCCGACTCTGCCCCCGTTTCTTTTTATCCTTAAAACGGTAGCCTCTTTAGCACGACATTAAGATCATATACGTTAAGAAATAGTTTTGGCGTCGCACCTTGATTCTCGATAGATGAATGGCACCGAAGCACATTGGGCAAGGCTCACAGGAAGCGTATATTTCACAGTCTGAGAGCTCAATCTGATTCAGCTTCTTGCATGCCTGACATAGATGCTCCAAGCATTGGTAAATGGAAAACATGGATTTCAACATCGATTATTTCAACCTTGAAGTATCTAAACATTCTTACATAGCAATGTTTAACCAACACCGATTATAATCGAGATGAATTAGTCCACGCATATAGTAATTTTCAGTTTTTACCATCTAATCTTGATGAACATATATGCAAAATTATTAACTATCACATGACTACTATGAATACAGAAAACTAATGATGATAAACTTTCACCAAATCGGAACAGATTATGAGATTGATATAAAAAGGGCAAACAAATCCCAGTAGGAATCACAGAATGATGGTAAAAAAGACCTGCACGTTAACATGTATATCTTCCGATGGTACTATCAATCTCTTACAATCAAGAAATGAAATGTAAGCTTTTTCACAGCGTTTCATGATCCCGGGGGTTGAAACTTTCAAACATTTTAAGTAAACATACGAATAAGATGAAGCAATTTGATTAATTTGGTTTGTTTGTTTGTTATGTTCTTTTATTCTGACCTCTCTAATAGCGGTAACCTCAGCGTGGGCAGTAGGGTCAGTGTTTTTCAAAACCATGTTGTGACAACTCACAACGACTTCATCATTGCGAACTACGACCGCACCAAATGGCCCTCCGTCTTTACATTCAACCCCTTTATATGCTTCTTCAATTGCTTGTGTTAAGAATTTATGGTCTCTATCTTGTACAGCTGGTTGGACAATAAACAGAAAAAACAGCACTTTTATATCCATCTAACAAACATCAAGCATGAAGGTCTTCCCAAGAAGTCTACATCGGCAATCAAGTATATACGAAACATTAACACCTAGGTAATACATACAGATATGCACTATGGGAATAGAGTAACACAACAAATCCAAGCAATATACTAGATCATCAATAATGAAAACCACCACTATGATCCAAAAACCATGCCATGAATTAAGAAACTACAATCAAATAACACTTAAGTTGACCGGAATCTTTGTTTTTCCTAAACCATGTCCATGTCTAACACCTATACAGACATGGACATGAACTCATCCTCAAGTCCGGGTAACATAGATTAACACTACATATCTAAGAAATACACCAGATCATCAATCCTGACAGCCATCAACATGATCAATAAGCTGTGACAAAACTAAAACCTACCATTAGATAACACCTACGTTATCCAGACTCTTCATTTTATCCTAAACCCGATTCCTAACCCACCATCGAGTCCGGACATATCCAAGGAATATTCCAGACCAAAACCATCAGTCTGATCTACAGACTGTGACACAGCTTAAAAAGTAAAAATCCAATCAGAATATTTATGGAAGTATGCTTTCGCCTTTTATGGAAGTAAATCTCCATTACCAAACAATAGGTAAAATTCAACGGAATAACTCTATTACCAGATACTATTAGGAGGTCAATTAATATTAGCTTTTTAACATTAAATCCTAGGAAAAAGTTGAGAATTACCTTCATGATGACCAGGAAAAGCAGAAGCAACAGCAATTGTTCCTTCTTTAGCTTCCAATACTATTAGAAAAACAAAAAAGAGCAAAATAAACATTAATATTGTAACCAAATATTTACAAATAAGATTGAAAATTCAGACAAATATTATTCTAAAATGTATGCATGAACCCTAAAAACTGGAATTTTTTCACCAAATTATGGAAAAAGTGAGTCCCTTTTTTTACTTCCACGCATTAACAAATTCAATTGATCTGTCTAATACTAAAACTAGAAATGCAAAGGCAAAGTGGGAAATTCAGTTAACCTAAATTCTGCCAAAGTAACACTGAAAATCCTCATGGAAGATCACAAAACAACAAAAAAGAGAAAGAAAGGATCTCAATGAAAGATAAAAAAAACCAAAAACCCAGAAAGAAAAACATACCCTTTGTCTCTTCCATGATGAAAGAGAAGAAGAAAATTAAGAACTTTGATTAATCAAAAGCAATGGGTAGTCAACGAACACTGGGAAAAGGAGAAGAAGATATAATGACAGAGAGATAGGCAGGAGAATAAGCAAGGCTTGTTCAGGTATATATATACACTCTTGGAGGAGAAAAAAGAAAGAAAAATGGAAATTAAATTAAGTTTAGAAAAACTTCAAACACATGCAAATAATAAAAAAAATTATTTTGAGGCTGATTCAGTTCATTTGTTTTCTTTTTCAATATCCCTTCTGTTTTTTTTTTTTTTTGGTTCCTTTCAATGTCTTTTAAATTATTTATATTTTCTCAAAGGGGTCTCTATGATGGTTGTTTCTGCCCTTTTCTCGACCACTAAATTTTAATTTTTTAAAAAGACCACTATATTATTTATGTTTATATTTTTAACTTAAAATATAATATTTTTTTATCAAATTAAGTACCTAAAATTATCATTTCAGTTAAAATAGATACTCCAAGTAATTTTAGCAAAATAGGTACCTAAAGTATTCAACTTTATTCATTTAAATTTAAAAAAGGTTGACTTGTAACATTAATTAAAAAATACTTTATATATTTATTTTGACAAAAAAAATTAAGTCTTTAATTACATCAAAAAGATCATTTCCGGTACTTACTTTAACAAAAAATTAAATACTCAAATGAAAAATTGATATACTTTAAATATTTATTTGTAATATAAGCCTATTTTTCAATTAATTTAATATTTATATTATTAAATATTATATTGTATAATATTTTATTTTTTTGGTATTACTGTTTAGAGCATTACACTTTTCGAATAAAAAATATAAATATGTAGTTTTTGAAAATATAAATATTAAATTGATAAAAAACACACAAGTGTTACATTTATAAAAGTTACAAATTTAAGTACTAAATTGATTAAAAAACACACCATATTTGCTAAAATTGTACAAAAGGCAACGCGAATATTTAATTAATATTATTTAAAAAATGAAATGTCTTATCCCACTATGAATTTAAATTTAGATTTATTTAGATACATATTACCATAAAAGAACTTATTTGGATAGAAAAAAACGAAATAAATATATAATGATACTTATCCACGAAAAAATAGGTTTTAAAAATTTAGCAATCTAAAAGCATAGGGTAAAATACACAAATGGTGTCTCGATTATAGGATGATATTTTGTTTAGTATCTTGACTATTAAAAGTTACAAAATGATATCCAACAATAGGATGTTGCTTTGTCGAGTCTACTGATTATTTAAAGTTACAAAATTGCCACCTAACTATTTATATGTTTCAAATTCATCATTTTTCATTAAAAATTGACGATATTTCAAGCTGGATATTAACTTATTGATTGAGATATTATAAAATCAGATCCAGAACCATTTGAAGTGTATTTTGTAGATCGAGTCTCTATTTACATTATATCGTCAACCCGGTGCTTAAAACATTATGTCATTGAGTTAATACTTAAAAGTAACAACGTTGCCCATAGAAATCATTAAAACATAATTTTATTTTATCTTAGTAGTAGGTTAATGTCCATCTAAAACGATTATTATTTTTAATAAAAAATGACGAGTTTAAACATATGAATAATCGGGTGACCATTTTGTAGCTTTTAATAGTCGAAGACTAAGGATGGCAACGGGTCTAGTTGGGTCAGAGTTTTGGTCAACCCAACCTGAAATATATATCCTCTACTCGAACCCAATCCGACCCGAAAAATATATATCTTCCATCCGACTCAACCCGACCCAAAGAGCATATTTCCTCCGCCCAAACCGTCCTTAATTTTTATAGTATAAATCTAACCTGACTCGACCCAACCCAATATAAAATAAAGATCTAATTTAAAAAGACAGAGAAAGGGATATTATGACAATTTTCTATAAATTTATAAAAAAAAATACACTATTACTCCTCGATTGAGTCGGAGATTTTTCACCCTCTACCCGAACTCGACCCAACCCGACTTCACCCCTATATAAAATTTAATCCGACTTGAACCCAATTTTTTTGTAAAAATTAATCGACCCTATCAAGTTTAATTGGGTCAGAATCCATCAATTTTAGATTAAATTATCATCCCATTGAAGACTCAACAAAATAATATCCTATAATCAATAAATCATTTAATAACTTTTTATAGTTGGAAGACTCAACAAAACAATGTCTATAGTCGAGGGACCATATATATATATATATATATATATATATATATATATATATATATGTGTGTGTGCCCCAAAAGAATACACATACCACGTTGATACTTTATTAATAAAACAGGAATATTGTTCTTTGCTTCCACGAAACATGTTAGAAATTTAGCGAAAACACCCAGATTCGTTTGTCTTTCTTTGAATTTAATTAATAATTTTACTGTTTGCACCGACACCAAGAATAGGGGAATCAAATTCCTCCCAAAATTTTCAAATTCTACTGCACTGGAACAAAAACACATAATAATATAAAACCAAAATCCACTTTGATTAAACAAAAAGGAAAACAGGTTCAACGACACTTGAGACTACCAAACAACAACTGTTGGAAAACATTGGCAATGAGACACAGATTTCATCTCTCCCTCCACCCCTCTTACCTCACTTCTTCTTTGATGCTTCGCTGGCCTTGGTCTAATAATATTAAACAAGCAAAATAGTCGGAAAATCAGAGCCCCGTCGGTCATTCATGTTTCGAAACAATAAGAGAAAAAGAAAGGATTTATCTATCTTACCTTCTTTACTCCACGGATCTTCTTAGCCCTGTTCTTCCTTTCCTTCATTTGCTTCCTTGATTTCTCCACCTTGGTATCCAATCCATTCTGAAATAACGCAAATTAATTAACGTCTAGTATCATGCCTCCATGGCCTTAAAAGAGAAGGGCTCTAATGATATTCATAACCAGCAATGAGAAGTCGAAAACAAGTTGGTTAACTGAAAGAAAAGGAATGCTAGAAAACTCGAAAGGATAAATAACATTACTTTTAAGTTAACACAACCTATTTCCGAATCAAACAACTCAACTTGGCATAAAACTGAAGCCCTGGTTCAATGTGTTGCATAACTACGTTACTTTAATAAAGTGCGAGTATCGGATACAAGTACATTCAAATATTTTCAATGCATTTGGAAGGTCCTTGGAAGGTCATATCTTCAAATTCATGTCTTAATATGTGTCGGTCCTGTCGGATATAGATGACAATCAAGGGTAACTAAAGAAAAATGAAAAGTTGCATGCTACATTTTAGGGTAATTTACTAAACTTAACATCAACTTTCATAAAAGTCGTAATCCTTTAATTTTATTAAATTATACCACTGAACTATTATTAACAAATTAGATCACCCCTGCTGACTCCATTTAAATAGTGATTTAATATAAAAGCAGTCTTAGCACGCATATGTGACATACTTTCTGAACAGAGTCAAAATTGGGATTTCGTGAACTAAATGAAAATTGATGCTACATTAAGTGACCTAAATGTGACATACTTTCTGAACAGAGTCAAAATTGGGATTTCGTGAACTAAATAAAAATTGATGCTACATTAAGTGACCTAAAATGTAAATCTATGTACATGTTTTCTTCATAAATAAGGTTGCAAGCACCAATACAAAGGCTCTACTTCTAAATCCAAATTGCAAGGCTTAAAAGACAAAGTTGCTTCCATGCTCAACAATGTCACCATTAGAACATGTCTAACCAACTAGGACTCCAGCAGTGCTTACAGCATGAAAGCAAACACCACAAACAAACATATTTCAAGAAATAAGGCTTCAACACATTAGTAATTAAACAATCACACTACTAACAAAATCCAGAGAAAATGCAAAGAAAATAAATGGAAATTACCCTGATCAGCCTGTATTTGGGCTCATACTTCTTAGCATTCTCAACAGTATCATATATCAAACCGAATCCAGTTGATTTTCCACCTCCAAAATGAGTCCTGAACTTGAACACAAAGATTGAATTTGGGTCCTTCACCTCATACATTCTACCAAGCTTCTCCTTCAGCTCAGCCTAACAATACATGATAAACAAACAAATCAGAAACGCATTAACACAAGCAGTCTAAATTTCCAGCAGTTAAGATTATACAACAGTGTTATTGAGAAACATTGAACATTTACCTTGGAAACATTGGGCCTCCCAGGATGCAAAACATCAATGATCTACAAAAATACAAATAAAAAGCCAAGTAAATAACAAGTTTCATTTTCCAAGTAAACAATTAAGTCATACAAATATAAGTTCATTTGAATTTTCAGTTTCCCAAAAAATCCATATTCACCCTATTGAAAGGCTTCATACTTCGTAAGCAAAAAGTCTATTATTCTCAAATGGAAAATCAAGATAAGTCCTAAAATAAGCATCTTATAAGCAAACTTACAAAAATCCAACACTATTTTCTATAAACTAACAAAAAAACCAATAATTTCTCTATTTTCTTTCTTTGACTTATCTATAACTTAAATTGAACCCTGCCAAAAGTATGCATTGGGAAAACAAAATCAAACATAACGAAATAATACACTGAAAGACTTAAATTTAACGTTGGCACATGTTTGGTTAACGAGAAAATGAGCCAAAAATGGAAACGAAGCTTACAAATTGTTTCCTGGAAAGCAACCTGTTCGTCATGAACTTCCTTGTCCTAATAGTCACTGCCTTGTCCGCCATGTTTAAGCAAAAAAAAATCTTTTTTTATTTGACGCAGTGGAAGCCCACAGTATTACAAACAGCGGCAGCAGCTCAAAGGAAGAGAGTGACCATCACGAAAAAACAAGCTTATATAGGGTCGCCAATGGGATCGGCTTTAAAGCCGATTAGGGTTTATTTTAGGCTTTGAATTGGGCTGCAATTTTTAACATTAATTTTGCTATCCGTAATAAGGCCCGTTAGCCTTGTTTTTTTTAATAATTTTTTAAATAAATGGCTAAATTTACCTTTTTAACCTATTTTAAAAAAGTTCACTCTTTATTTTTTTTTAAATTTCGCAATATCACATTGTTATTTATTTATTTTTCTACAAATAAAATAAAATTTGGATGAGAAATTATACAATTACTAGTCAATTAACTATCAATTTTTTATTAGTGTCGTGATAATTATTTTTTGAAATAAAACTAGGTTTTTATTAAATAAAAAGCAATGTAAAACAAAGGTCGTAAATGAGATGAAACATATCGTGAGTTATTTAACTTTGACTCAGTCAAAGTTTGGTTAACACTTTAATCGAATGGATTCGACTCGAGTTTTTAACGAGTTGAAGTAAGTTACTTAATACCCTACTCGAAAAACTCGCCACCAATTTTTTTTTAAATAATATATTAAAATTTTAATTTTTTAATTAAATTATTAAAAATATTACTATCTATATGTTGTTGTTTTTAAATACACCATAAGGCTTTCATGTACTTAATATTCAAGTTTGAACTTGGGTTCGAGCTTGAAATAAGCTCGAGTTTGAGCTTTAATCGAGCTAAATTAGAGAATGTTTCGAGTTCAATTTTTTGAGCTAGAGTCGAGCTTGAAAATTTTAAGGTCGCGAGCTTTAAAGTTGAGTTAAGCTTCAATTTTTTTAGTCAAGCTTAACAATTTTAAGCTCGCGAACTATCGAGTCGAGCTTAGCTTTAAACTTTTTGAGTCGAGTCAAGCTCAATAATAATCTAGCTCGAACATAGAAACCCAAAAAGCGTGAATAAAAATAAAATCAAAATCTTTATTTGAAAAAAATACTTCATCTTCCACAAAAATAGAGCAACAATGAATAATCCACACATCTCTACTTGAGACTACAATAAACATTGATGAAGGCATGGAGATTGAGATTATTCTGCGGACGATTATGAATGCATCGAAAAATTGTCGTAAAAAGGGATCTAATTATACGAGATCATCAACATTTCCTGATCATGAGATATACGGTGATGAATACAACACGAAAATGTCATATTATCATAATAACATATAAAATCATGTCATAAAAACAAAAAAAACTAACGCTTCAAGAATATGCGAGAAAAACAAATCAAAAGAAGATGGTATTTATTTAGTTATAAATAAAAATTAAATAAAAAATAAAATAAGAATAAAAGAGATGAAAACACTTAAACCGTCGCCTAAGATGGCATTTTGAAAACAAATTAGAGAACTTTATGTGACGTGATAATTTACATCTACAGGTTGATGATATAATATTTTAAAAATTACTAAATATTTGGTTAAACTATACATTTAATACCTAAATTATTATTTTTTGTTCCGATTTGGTATCTAAATTTTTTTTTTCAATATCATACCTAACGTTTAATTTAAGTAAAGTTTCATTTTGGGTACCTGCCATAAAAATTGAACGAAATTGTTGTAAGTGATATTTTTTACGGGTAAATTATATCATTCAATTATTTTCTCGCTCTTATTTTGGTCATTAAATTTTAAAAATTTCCAATTTAATTATTAAACTTTTAAATAATTCATGTTTTAATCACTTTAATTTATTTTATTAATGTATTTATGACATAACATTTTTATTGTTATTTTATTAATATATACTTAAATAAAAAAATAAAAATGATATCCAAACCCAAAAATTATACCACAAATCTTAAATCACAAACTCCTCATATACTAATAAAAATAAGTTAGTTAGAGTGATTAAAATATGAGAAATTTGAAAGTTAAGTAATTAAATTAACAAACTTTAAACTTTAGTGATCAAAATAGGAGTTAAAAGATAGTTGAATGATGAATGATGTAATTTACTCACAAAAATATTTTCATCGATCAAGATGAACTCTCTTTTTTATAGAACCAAAATCATTTATGATCGAGACAAAAGAAATAATAAATAATTTTGATTGAATAAAACAAGACATGAAGAGCATCTTTTAAATTTTTATTATAATCTTGTAGGTGATGTTGAAAAATTGCTAAATAAACGCTAATAACACCACAAGTTCATAAAAAATTAAAGAACAAAATAAAAGTAATATATGAAAATTCATGAAAAAAAACATGCATAAGAACATCAAGAACTTAAAATTTTAGTTAAGATACTCAATTACCTTCATGTTTTAAAAAGAATTCTTTGAATTTGAAAAGCACGAAATGAATATAAATAAACAAGAAAGAGACAACATCACATTATATAAGTTAGATTTTGAAGAGATAAAATCGTAGTTAAATTGAAAATTAAATAGGACTTTAATTAATTTAATTTTGATTAAATAGAATTATAATTAAATTTAATAAAATTATATAAAAATTACTTTTCCTCTTACCATGGGGCCATGACCTAAGTAGGCCCAGGCCTACCTCCGCCCCTGAGTATGCCTTGATACTCTTGAATCGTTGTAAAGAGTTATTATTACGAAAGACTTATCTTTCAAAATGTCCTCAAGCATTGTATAGGAAATGTATATTAATTCAACGATTATAGTTAATCATATACCTTAAATAGTGAAGAAGTATTTTATCGTACTATAATATCGTAAATTCATAATCTTACAACTTCATCAATTGCAATTTACAAGTCAAATAAGTACTAAGTTGGATCAATATCAAATCAAATTATATACAGGTTAAGTCAATTATAGATTAAGTAACAATAAATTATTTATCATATTAGTATCGGGTTAGGGTTCATATCAAGTCAAGTGCAAGTCTGATTCAATTATTACATTATCATGTTCAATTCGGATTCAGGTCGTTCTCAAATCAAGTGTAGGTCGAGTTCATATCTAAAATTACAAGGTCTAACTCAAGTTTAGGTCAACGCTAGTTCAGACTCGCATCAATTTCGAATCATCACCACCTCATTACAAGCAATTCTAATTGAAGTCGGTTTCAACCAGTTTTGCAGACCGAATTAATTTTTTTTACATCCCTATACTAAACATATAATTTACCCAAAATTTAATTATTAAAACATTAATGGTAGAAAAAGTTGTGAAAGTCTACAAACTCAATTAATTTTATAATGTAGGTATATTCTTCTGGGTATATATATTCTTTTCCTTTTCTGTTCCGACAAGGAATGCTTTTTTAATTACATGAATCAAATTATTCTAATGGTTAAAGAGATAATTATTATTTTTAAAAATTTTAAAATCGAGTACTAATAATTGTAAAAGTGTTTAAACTTACGTTATTAAACAATTAAGAATTTTTAAAACAAATATTATTGTTCGAATGAGTTACCAATTGAAGACAAAGGAACAATCAACCCTCGTTCACAACAATGCTTTTAAAACTTTGACCAAATCAACACGTAACTTTAGTGTTCAATTCCTAATAATTGTACTCAAATTTGTACAACATATGCAGCGTCCTATCCACCTAATGATTTGCTTCACATTATGCATCGTGACTCTTATGGACCCCCTTGTGTTCGCTTACTAAGCTGTTAGTGTACTGGCTTTTACCTTCATTTTATTAAAAAAATGAATTATTTGGCTTATCTTATAATATTAAATATTTTTAATTTTTGTTTAAAGATTAAACGTGTCCTCAAGTTTTTATAAAATAAATTAATGAAATCTTTAAATTTAAAAAGAAATATCAATTAAGCATCTTTGTCGTAACTGCTAAATCAACATATGTGGATTTATATTTAAAATTTTATTTAGATGTAAAAAAAGTAAATATTTTAATTATTTTTTTAAAAAATAAATTGTTTTAAACACTTGAGCCTTTAATTTAAAACATCACATATACTTATATATCACGGTGGAGTTAATTATTTGTCATAACTTTATTTATTTTATAATATTATATTAATGTCATGGTGGAATATATTTAAATTATATGAGAAGATGGCATCAAAGTTAGCTAAAATGATGTCATAATTTAATTGGAACATGATGGTCGTCACCTGTCAAAAAGATGAACATGCAATGCATGGGAACGGAACATGATTCCATGCTCCATTGGGGTCCCATCTAATTTACTTCCCTTTCCAACACACCCCAATCATTCAAACTATGAGGATATATCCAAATAATATCCATTTATAAGAAAATAATGAAATAATATGATATTTATATATATATATATATATATATATATATATATATATCATTTTAGTTAAAAAATAAGTATAATGTCAAAAAATAATTAAATAATTATTTTGATTCTTATTTTTGAAGTATTTTAGTCTTAATATTTTTATTTTGGGATAAAAATACTCATAACATTTGAATAAATAGTCAATTTAATCCCTTTTTTTTGTATTTTGGCATTCTAACATTTTATTTTAGGGTAAAAAAATCTTATTTTAGAGCTTTAACTATTTATTAACTAATGATTTTCATCAAGGGAATAGTCTTTTCTGTTCCATAATGAACCATTGAGATCAAATATTTGAAAAAAAATTGATTAAAATAATTATTTAATCCATTATTAGGGATCAATTTTTTATTATTATGCCAAAAAATATGCACTCAATCTTTAACAGTTCAACTTCTAGATATAAAAACAATACGAGTTAATTGCACCTTATGTACCTAAACTGTGATTCTTATTTTATGTTGAGTCATAACTTTTTGAATATTTTAATTTCATCCCCAGACTATGTTTTCATTTTAAATTAGTCCTCAAACATACCAAATTCATGCCCAAACTATAACCCTCATTCTATGTTGGTCCCCAAACTTTTAAATGTTCTAATTTCAACTTTGAAGTTTTGAATGATTTAGGGGGATTATTTGGATGTTCAAAAGTTTGGGGGCTAATTTAGAATAAGCGTCATAGCTTGAGTATGAATGTGGTATATTCAAAAGCTAGGGACCAATTTAGAATGGGAGTCATAGTTTAAAGATGAAATTAAAATGTTCAAAAGTATAATGA